CAACATTGAGCCTTGCCCCGGGCGGGAAATTGACAGCAGTGGTTCCCGTGGGTGGCGGCCGGGTAGGGGGGTCCAATTCTGCCAATCTCCCGTGTTAGGGTTCCCTCCTCTCTCCAACAACAGCTTTAAACAACTGTGTGATTAAACAAACATTAATGTTTTACAACACAGCTAACAAATAAACTACTCTAAAGCTTGGTTACAGGTAAGTCAATGGATCATAAAATGCTTTATTGTAATTGAGATACATAATTATACTTTATATTCATACACATCCGTGGAAACCCACAGTCAGTCTCACATACATGTTATTAAAGTAAACATAACACATGTTAATAATAAGTAAAAAGTGTTCCATAAGCAATTATGCTAAGACTTTCATCTCAGACAATATTTACCTGTCATGTCCGTTGGCTGAGGCGGCGTGTGTCGCCGTGTAGTTACTATCACTGTATGTCGACACACTGGCTCCATTATCTAACAGCAGTCTCACACAATCTATAATCAGCATAAATATCTTACTGTACAGCTAATATTTCACACAATCTATAATCAGTGTTAATATCTTACAGCTGATATTTCAGCATTGTCGCAAACCACGGCCAAAATGTATCATCCTCTCCGATATTGGCCATGATTGAATGAGAAGAGAATTTTTCATAGCTCATAAAAATATTGACAAATGCAAGTAAAGCATAGTCGGATGAACCTTCATATGACTTTTCAATACCCAATCGCAATGTAGGAAATATTTCTTATTTACTGCTGCTACGTGTAATTGAATATACTTTGTTCTTCACTTTAATTTTGACTGACCTTCGTGACCATACTTAGCAGCTAAAATGAGTGGGGTGGATCCGTCTTTTATCGGGAGGTTAACATCAGCCTGAGAGTCAATAATGAGTTTCTGTAATGAGGTGAAATTTCCGTCGGCAGCAAATCTATGAACAGGGGAGTTAAGCACGTCAGCTGAGAGCGCGGGAGTTCCGTCTAAATGTAGTGAATTATCCGAATCTGTCAGTAGAAACAATGGCCTGTAAAACTTTTTAATTAGATGGGTCATTTTCTGACACAAGTAAACTCAGTTGAAGGCAAACAAATACAAATAAAAACATAAATGATGAATGATTTTATAAATATTTAACACTAGGCAATCATTTAAACAGAATTAAATGTAGCAAAAAAATGCACTGAAACAAAATCACAAAAACTTGAATACTATTTGATTGCTTAAAGTGATTTTTAAAAAGATAAATGTACTCTTATAATACATGAAAAAAGAATTTACGAAAAAAAGAATTTCCTTAAAATTTGCAAAGTGTGATGAAAAATAAAGCTCGAATGCTCAGCATGCATGTGTTCTGAATATCAACAAAACATGCAAAAAAAACTGGAACAACTAAATGCACAATTTGTTTACTGGTTATTATTAAAGAGAAAAGGAAAAGTGATAACAAATTAGCTAAAACAAAACATTAATAAACTCTGACTTTTTAATTCTAAATAATGATTCTTACATCTCAGAGAGTTGTTTGGTAAAATTTTTCAGTAGTGGGTTGAGGTTAATTAGCTTTTAACAAAAGTCAATGGACAATAATGTATTTTAGTTAAAGTACTACAGTACACATAGTCTCCTAAGTGTTTTACACTATATAATAAAGCTCTGCTGCTTGAAAACAGGATGCATAAGCAGGAAAAAGAATTTCAAGCTCCTAGTCAACTCTACAGCTGTCACACACTTATAGATAAAACAGGAGAGGGAGAAGGGGAGAGGGTCACATCACACATTTTGAAAGTAATAAATCCTTCTTTAACATCTTTACAGGATCCCGAGGGGTTTGTCAGATTTATGGCCCAGAACATGTCCCTACCAGACCCCGGGGGTCAGTGTTACTATGGTAACTAGGGTGAGATAACTGCATTATTGGTGACATTAACCTGGTGATGACCTTGATATGGTGTGCAAGGTGAAGGTCACTTACAGTTAAACTCAGACAGCAGTGTCCCTACAATCTAAAATTCAACAAGGCCTGGTCATTATCAGCTACATGTACCAATCATTGTTACAGAGCTATAGTGCTGGAAATCTTACACACAAAGGCCAAGTATATTCATTACCATCTATATCTGATAAACATATGTACAATTTAATAATCACTGTGGTTGATACATTACTCAAAGCCATCTAAAAACTTGTCAATGTGCATATTTGGTATAAGTTACTGTAGATTTAATGGACATAATTTAAAAGGTACGTATTTGTGTGCTTTTCCCTCCTTCTTTTTGTTTGTATTGATAAAGAAATGGGAAAAATACCAAATAGAATGGAAAAGAAGTTAAGTTCTACTGTAACACTTAAATAAGAATTCTTGTCTTACATGTACATGCATTTCAGGTCTATGTTTGGGATTTGAAGTAAGCCATAAATAGATGTGTGATCTACAAAATAAGCCTGCAATAGTAGAGCCTAATATGACATCCATAGATTAAGCCTAGGGCAGCCATATCTTCAATATTTGTGTAGGAACTTAGCGGCTACTGTGGGTAGTGTCATACCAACGCTATCTGATGTAGAACCCAGTCCTGTTAATCAGTCATAATAAAATACTGACCATAGATAAACGAATTCAGAGTGTTAAGTTACAAACTATCAATTTTTCTTTCCTCTGTAAGATAGCTGTACATTCCATTTTCTGGTAAATAACATGTTTTTCTTTAATTGTTTCATCTTATTATTCCAGTTACATGTACAGTAAAACTCGGTTATAGTGAAGTCTCTGGAACCTATGAAATTCCTTCACTATATTTGTGATTAGTTATATTCATGTAAAGAATTCATTAAATTCATATTGCTTGGGATCCCAAGATAACTTTGCTATATCTGCGAATTTGCAATATCCATGTTCGTACTAAACGAGTTTTACTGTATCTATCTGACCCACTCTAAATGAAATACATGTACCACATTCTTATCCCTAAAGCCCAAATTACAATTTCTAATTTACGTCAATATTTAATTGATTTATGAATATTTTTTGGTCTGTCATTCCCTGTCTGCACACAGTGGCATGACAACCATACATTACCTGCCATGATAGAAGTTAGTAGGTTCTGAAGGTCGGCCATTTCTGGTCCAAGGAATTCTAAAGCCTCATTGGATGATTTAGAGGTGTCAGTCAAAGTCATGTGACCATTTGGGGCAGAGTCAGTATTGTTGTTCACCTGGGACTGTAAAACAAAGCATGCACATGCTGAAGTTATTAAGCACACAGACATACTTAAACATGCATTGGTAAATATTGTAAAATCAGGATAGAAATTCATCATTTTCACGTGCCATTATCATGAAATAGCAAGGTAAAAGAAAGGAAGCACTTTGCAGAACAGAACACAAAGAATCTAACAATCATACACTGTAACAAATAAAACCATTATAAGAGTAGGAGGTTTTAAACTACCAATTAATTTTTACAAAATGTTCCATGATAATAATAAAACATGCTTCATCAATGAACCGAAATTGTCTCAAAAAAAAAATGAAGTCAAATACTGGCATAACACAAACTGAAAAAGTTTCACATTCACATTTCACATCTACATTCATTTGTCGAAAAAATTCAAAAAATGCAAACAAAAGACAGAAAGAGACATTGTCAAATGAAGCTTCAAAGACATAATACATAAAAGATGTACTGCTACATATAAGAAACTGATACAGACAGACAACATGTAATTAAATTTCTGTGGTCTCACCTTACTGAAGGGAATAGAATGTAAAAGTCTGTCACAAAAAACAACATGCATTGAGTCAAAGTCAGATCATACAAAGAGTAAATCACTAGTTCAATATACCAGTATCTTTACGTATCGTACATGCAACCATGATGCAACTGAAAATCTCACCCTGGTCTATGAGAAAACTCCTGACTCATAAAATTAATACAGTACTGTATACAGGGAAATATTTGCCCCCCCCCCATTTTATTTTCGTCCCTTTTGTCCTCTTCATGATTGGGCAAATTCAAAACAGGGCGAATTAAAAAAAACACAGCATAATTTCTTAAACAGAACTATGGCTAGGCTAATTTGAAACGAGGCACAATTGTTCGCCGGTGCAAAAGTCTGAGAATATCACGGGGCGAAATTAACCCTGTATACAGTAGTTTGAAGCTTTTCGTGAACCAATTTTTTTAGCATTTGTTTGCCGAAATTTCTTTCATGCTATGGTATACAGTCACACTTAGGGAACTGACTTTGTCTTTTAGACTGTTCCTGACCAAAATGTCTTCTTATAGTTCAGGCTGAATTCTTAGGGCATGTGCCAACAGTGAACTTTATATAACAAATTCTTTTCAAGATGAAATCCTTATAAAAGATTTTTTCAGTTAATATCACCCACATATATATCTGCATTTCTTTTTTGTTGTTGTCAGTTATAAACAAATGCCATTTATGCCACTAAGCATCAAACATTACAGTCTGAATTCATCTGCAGTACTTCACCGTGAAGTTATTTTATCAACAGGTACATGTATTTTTTTCCTGAATTTGATAGATAAACTTCCTGTTCGATATACATAAACTAAAAACAAACGTAAGAAATGTCAAACATGAGGAAGAAGACATGAAAGGAAAGAAAAGACAAAATAAACAAACGGTAAAAAAGTTCAGACAAATAAAAACTAGGTGTGTAATAAAAGGAAATTTCTAAACTTAATACAAAACAGTTGCGATTTGGAATAAACAAGCAAACAAACAAATGATAACTTATATACATAAGAAAACTTTAGGATAAAAGAATGGGATAAAACAAGGTAATAAACACACAAAGCTGGGCTATAAAATTTTTGTTGTCAAAATAAAAACTGGGAAATGTTTGCTGACAAGCATGACTAATATCTGTAGAATTTAGAAAAAAAATTAATTTGTTCCAATCCTTTCAAAACTTTTTTTCAATGAATTCAAACAGCAAAGGCAGGCAATGAAGAACAGAAATTTTATTGACATAAAACAATACAATGAACAGTTGGCAGTAAAGCTTATACATTGTTTACAGTTAAACACCTAATAACCATGATCATTGTGTGATGGCCTTTCAATGTGACAGAAATTGGCAAGACAGACATCGTGAAAACACGGCAAATGCATGATGGCAAAATTTTGGCAGTCCGTATCACCAGAGTCAAGCCTAAAATTGTCTGAACCTTTCATTGTATTGCACCGAACAAATGTAGGGAATTATGTATTTCAAATTGATAAGATGCCTTTAGTTTTTTAGTTCTGATTATAAACAGACAAACTAATGTTGTAATTGTTTGGCCAAATCCATCTGACTCCAACCACTGTTCAGCAGAATCACTATAAGTTTTATGTCCTGTTACACACAAAGTAAATTCGGGATGGGTTGTCCTGCTTATTATTCAGGAGTATAACCGAAGTTTAACAATTGTGTTGTTAATTGACACAATAAAGTCACAGAGCTACTGAGCTATACCAGTAGCTCTTAAAATAAAATAAAACGAAAATGTTCACACAATTTACTCACATAAAACAGCCTTGCTTGTTTTCTAAGTTTACCTCACGTGTTGTTATTATTTGTTGTCAATCAGGGCCGCTTCCGGTAGGTTACTTCCGGTTAGGCTCCTAGTGAGTTTGGACCTCTACCATTTCGTTCCGGTAGGTGGTTTCGTCATCCTCTCGAGTCCCATTGTGGGCGCCATTTCTGTTACGGTTTTCCAATAGTAGAAACAAAGTAGTAGTAAAAATCTTGTAGTAACAGATGAATTTATTCACATACACACACAACAATAACAGTAGGCTCTAAAATACACAAAAACATAAAATAAAAATACATGCACAATAAAACACATAACACACATCAAAGGGAAATAACTCAATTTCAAAATTGAACACAAATGATAGTCAGTTATCTTGAAATAAAATAAATAAGAATTTAAGTAGAATAATAAAAATGAATTATTTTAGCTTTTCCCAATCATAATTTAAATCAATATTGTATCAAATTAAACAAATAAATCAATATTTCTCAAACTCATAAGATCAAAACAATTTGTTCACACAGAAAACACAATCAAACACCACAAACAAATTCAACACACAAAACATTGATCTTACCAGATATATGGTATCAGAACCATTGTTCTTTATATATATGACATGTATTTGCAGCTATGGCTAAGGAACTCCCAAAAAACCAATTATTGTATTATAAATTGATTTCATCAAAACTGTTAAAATATTAAATAAATACTGTTTTTATATTTATCACATAATCAACATTCTCACAGGTTAATAAATATTAATAAATGATGGCTTACTTTCTGTCTAGGTCAGTAAAGTCCAAAACCTTTATCAAGAAACATACAATGTACAAAACAGGAATTCAGGAATGAAAAATCAAATACCCCAATATCACTATACCCTCTAAGACTTTACCTTTGACACTAAAATTCAACCAACCAGTAATAGAACCAATGAACCATGAACAACATATACTACACTACCTATGGAAACCCATGACTGACTTAAACTAATAAATGACTTAGAATATGGAAACCTGTTTATGTAATTTCAATAATTTATTTTATTTAAACAAACTATCAAAATATAAATCTATACTATCACAAATTGAATACTAAGAAATAATTGTACAATTATTTCTTACCGTAATTGTACACTCAATTTGCCAGATATCTTTAGATAATTTGTGTTGGGGATGTTGGGGAGGAAAAGCGTCTTCTCTCCCCTAGGTCTAAGGTTGGAGTGATCGAGAAGTTAGTATTGGCTCCAACGCCCGTTTGACCAATCACACACTTGTTACACCCTCACTGACCACTCGCCCGTATAATTGAATGAATGAATTAGGCAGTGAATTAACATAGTAAATTCCGTAGTGACAACGTAACAGGGTTTTTTCTAGGTCTTAAAAACAAGGGCCTGCGCTTTTCCATTTGGGAAAAATAGCGACATTTTGTTGATATTTGGAAAAGTATCATATTTAATATTTTTTCTATATAAATTCAAATAAGAGGGTTTTTGTTTTATTTGCAAAGTATTTCTTTCACTTATTTTGCATTCAGTCAATCAGTTTTGGGAGAATGCCTTTTAGATTATTATTTAGAACAATACTTTTGATAAAAATGTAACTGCATTTGAACAATTTTTAATCGGTTTGTTTGTTTCGATTCTCTTTTGGGAATTTTCTACAATGAAATTGGGGAAAACACATACTTTTTACCATTGGGAATGGGGCCTTATACAGGCCCCCTACGACCCCTAAAAAAAACCCTGCGTAATTCAGTAGATGCAATAAAACTATGATGCCTTAAAAAAGATATAAAAAATTAAATGAATGATAATTAGTAATATTAATTAATTAATTAATTATAATTCACCCTGTGACATATCTTCTAAGTACATAGTGATGTTAAGTAAGAGTGCCTCTTCCAAAATTGTGAATTTTATGGCCCCAAGGTCAGGGTATGGCGGAGTTCTATTGATTATATGGTGAAAATGCATTTATTCTCTGAAGATTTTCTTCTTTCATGATAAGAACCAGACAATGATGTCACAGGGACGTCTGGGATCCTGGTCATCGAATTTGGGTTTTCCTACCATGGGGTCCTACAGACTCAATCCAATCCGATAGTTCGGATATCGGGCTTGAGAACCAAATTGTTGAATACTGTAACACTAACAGCAATCGCGACTGTGTTCTCCAGCCTCCTATACTGGCAAGTCAGATATTTTGATACAATTCCGCATGGAATACTGTTCCATTTCGTCCATTTTTTAACAGGCACATGGACGGGCGACACCTAACTATACCATATATGAATATACATAACATACTATAAAGTCTCTGAAAAGCAAACGAGGTATGTTTAAACGAATACTTTTATGTCCGAGTGACATCACACCTTTGTGAATACAAAAATTAACTCATTCTTTAACTATTCTTAAAAGCTAACGTTAACCCTTTGAAAAAAAGAACACAGATAGCCGAGGAACAAACAGCGTAATGAATGACCCGAGACATGGCTTGGAAAGGGAATTTAATTAAAGGCCGGGGCCCGGATATAAAGGGCAGCCAATCGAAAAATGTTGGGGAAATTCAACTTTCTATGCAGCTTTCAGATTTGAGAAGCATTTTTGAGAAAATATGCTTTTTTTTATCATATTAAATTCTAATTTTTGGCATGGAAGCAGCCACCTTGATTGTGAATAAAGTGTCCATCTTTCATAGTTGAAAAAAAAATTATATCTTGAGTAATTTAGGAATAAAGTTCTGAAGCTGCACTGAATTTTGAATTTCTTCTCAGTGATTGACAAAGTAGGCGGAGATAACCACACAGGAAGTGGCTGTAGCCATGTGCTGCAGCACATGCTCTGCGTGGTATTACTATACTATAAATAGTTTTCACTAGTGATTTTTACAATTTATAGAGAAAAAATGACTGAAAAACATTTTATTTTGTCAATGAATAGTAAATACACAGGTTTTGAAAAATAAACACACATGTACAGTTACTGTATTAATACTTTTTTTATACAAACCTTAGGCGAACAAGTGATAAGATAGCTCAACTAATATATTTAAGTATATTCCAGTCACTTAATTATATGAAAATAAAATATTCACAAGTCAAAAGAAATATTTTAACACAGGTTTGAGTTCCTAATCACTCCCACATATGTCCCATGTATGGCTGATCATTGGGATTAGGTAGCCAATGTCTCACAACGGTCACAACACATTTTGGCATAAGGTCCCTCCTGTGATAAATGTAATTTTTTCTCCGCGGATCCTGTCGTAGGGCATTTCTTTTCCTCTGAATATATCTTGGATCCTTCCATACATTTCTATGGAACAACATAGTCCAGAATCTTTTGTATTTGTCCTTTCTCCTCTGAGAATTACTTCTGTTTGGTGCCTCCGGATCCTCTAACCACCACATTTGTCGGTTGGTTTCCGATGTTATGCATGGACGGCATAGACAATGGATACATTCCTCTTCTTCATCGTTCTGATTTATAACAAAATCAGGAACATCATCATTGTTCTGCTCCTCCTGGACCTGGTTTACATGGTCTTCAATTGGAACCTCATTGAATTCCCACTCATGGTGTGCAAATAGATGGCGTATTGTTTTTTTTTGAGTTTCTGTTACTTCAATAGCTAAAATAGATTTCTCTTCTGTTTCCTCCATGTTGTACTCAGCAAATTCCAAGTTGGCTACACATTTACACATGTAACACTGGAAAGCCCAACCATTTCAAAAGGACCATACGGGATACATTTAATACTTACATGCAGAAAGAGAAACAAACCACATATGTGTGCAAAGAGCTGCACAAATGTATTATAATGTTTAACATACTCTTCATTATCATTATTTTTTAATTAAAATGTTTTAAGATAGATAAATTTTAAAAAGAACTTTATTAGGAAGCCCTAATGTGCCTCTGCATCTCTGCAGTGAAAGGTCAGATTATGTCATTGTCAGATGCTAGATCAGGATTTTGGCGGGGAAGTGCTAACTACAGATAGGATTAGGTGTCAAGTCTGACCATTTTTATGTGAGGGGTGTCAAGATTGCATATACATAGCTTCTTGGATGTAGATATCTAAAAATTAAGTTGTTTTTTTTTTTTAAATGTTAAAAAAAAAAAATACAGGCTTTTTATAAAGTGTTCATATATGCAATTCAGCATCATTTGTTGAGTTAAAGAAAAGAATTATGCATGTGTGTAAACCAACGCCCCTTCATAAAGAATAATAGTATATTCCAAGAATTAGTATCTTGTACATTTATTTGTAAAAACCAAAAACCTCAAAACAAAGATAGTGAATGAAAGTGAATATGTCTAGTCCACCGAAAAAACGAAAGAGAACACCAAGTATCAGAATTGAATTATCGGGAGATGAAAGTAAGAAAACCAGTGTTTTGGAAAAGTTGCAAAAACTAAGGAGTGAATTAGAGGGCAAACTGAACAAACATGTTGGAAATCTACAAGTCATTGAATATCTCTTTTCTCTTTGGAGTGAGAAAAGAAATGAGGAACACAACATCCAAGGTGATGTTGCACAGTCTGCCCAAGAAAAATCTCCAGCTCCTAGTCCTTACATAAAAGTTCAGAAAAAGGATGTAAATCAAAAACTCTTCTTGTGTGCTGAGGAATCTTTGAGGAGACTAGTGGAAATTGCAGAATACCATGGTCAAAATTGTTCAAGGAATTTAAAAATGAAGAAAGTGCTACAAAGAGGACATGTAATGTCAACCAAATTTCAATGCGAGGAAGAGGGGTGTAAGCATACGTTTCTGTGGTCATCATCTCCTTATTTGCCCAATAATGAATATTTGGTAAATAAGCGTGTCAACCATTCTTTATTATGCAGAGGGATGCTTCCATCACACTACACTAGATTTGCCGATGGAGCAGGTATTGGAAAAATATCAAAACAGGATAGGCAAAAGTTTTTTAATCAATCTAAAAAACACATTCAAAAGGAGTATGAAGACTCCATCTACACAGCAACTCTGGAGGAAGTGGCATCATATGAAGATCTCGAAAGTATAAATATAATGACTGATGCACGACATGGCTGGCGCAAAAATGCCAAAGATTCCAGTGTAGTGGCTATTGGGGACAATACGCACAAAGTTTTATCATGTCAACACATAACAAAATCTGATGATCAAGTGTCACAACGGCATGAAAAACTCGGAACGGAAAGAATATACCAACATTTGAAAGATCAAAATGTAGCTGTAGGAATTCATACTCATGACAGGAATCTGTCGATTAATAAATATATCCGTGAGGAATGTGAGTCTACAAATCAAAATGACACCTGGCATGCAGTCAAATCAGTTAAGTCCTCTTTGAAAAAAGTATCTTCTGGGCCAGCATATCTTGAGGGAAAAACCTGGTCATCTCAACTTGATGACAAAGTGGAGCCAGTGTGCACTCACTTTCACTGGGCCATTAGAAACTGTGATGAAGATACCGCAAAACTTCCAGCACATCTATTGAACATAGTAGAACATTACAAGAACAATCACTCAAATTGTCATTCGTCCTCCAGGTGCAAAATGGATCCTAACTATGAAATATCTCGAAAAGTTATTTCTAACCCGTGTGCCGAGAAGTTGTTGCTAGGAGTCGTAAAAAATTCTATTGTTTATAAGCATCCACAGGATTACATCTTATATCATGCTACATTTTATGTTGAAAGCTTCAACAATGTCATGAATGTATACCAGGACAAAAGAATATCATTTTCTGATGACATGTACAGAGCAAGATCCAATTTGGCCGTATGTCATTGGAATGAAAACGTGGACAGAAATTATACATCTGTTTGGAAGATTACCACAGCAAATCTGGATTCTAAAAATAGATCTTCAACAACAACTAGCTGCAGCTAATGAGAGCAGCAGGTGTTTGTGTTAGGGAGTATTCTAGGTCAATTATAAATAAACTTCAGATCGGAAGATTAGATCCGCCTAACATGCTTGAACATATATTCATACGCAGTAATTGTACATTTTACAGATATTTAATCAAAAATTTCTTTAAAAGCATGAAGGCATAAATAATGTTACATTATAAAATTTTACACAGTTTTTACCTCTTAAGTTTGTACAATCACTCAAACCAAAGCATTTTTTGCTAGAACTATTATATTTGGCGTATGGATCACCTTGATGAATGCGTGAAAAATTTTACAGCTCTGAAATGGCTATGTCAACAGGGAGTAGCTTGCTACGCAAGCCAACTCAAAAATTATTCTTCTAGTACTCTTAGAAGTGTTTAGTGTATATTACATTAGAATTGAAATTAAACAAACATAAAAATCCCTGTCCTTTAAGATAACATACATTTTCAGAAAAAAAATTTTTTTTTACTAAGCCATTTGGTTAGTTTGGTTAGGACTTAGGAATAAATTATATTTCAATATGGAAACTATTAAGCAAGGTAATAAGATTAGCTGTGAAGTTCTCCTGTTAAGCCATACCTCCTGTCTGAGTCTTTCTCTTTCCTTCTCCAACATGTAGGTCACATCGTCTCCCTGTGCCGTGTCCTGAGCATGTTTTCTTTTCTCATCCTCCAACTCATTACACACCTACAAACAGACAGACATTGTCAAATCATTACACACCTACAAACAGACAGACATTATCAAATCATTACACACCTACAAACAGACAGACATTATCAAATCATTACACACCTACAAACAGACAGACATTGTCAAATCATTACACACCTACAAACAGACAGACATTGTAAAATCATTACACACCTACAAACACACAGACAAAGCTATCAAACAGATTCTGTGGAATCATCAATTTTTCAGGAGGGGGGGGGGGGCAATGTTTGTGGATTTCCTGGCTCACCCTAATATCCACATATTTACATCCCCATTGACATTGACAATTATTTTGTATATCATTGAATCATGTGTATATTTATGTAGTATATACAAGCAAGTTACCCACAAAATTCTTCCCCATGAACTAACAAAATTTTTCAAGTCCACAAACATTGACCACAACAAATTTAATTGATTCCACCATTATTTATAAAATGTTATTACTGCAGAACATATATAAGCCTTTTTTCCCGACACTAGGGGGTGTAGCTGTGGGGGATGGAGAGCTGACCTTGTGATATCGTTTCTCGGCCGCTGACAGTTGCTCCCTCATCTTCAGCTGAGCTTTCCTCTGTGTCGCTATCAGGTTCTCTAGCTGTGCCAGCTGATTATCGTACATAGACTTAATGGCAGATTCGTCAAATGAGTTATCCTTCAAGTTATCCGAATCTCTTTGTAATGCAGAAAACGGATCTCCCAATCCAAACCTTCCATACTTTGCTTGGTACAGTAGCTGCTTTGCCTTTTCAGCCTAGAATTAGAATAAATATTGTACATTTCTAGATTTATACAAAGTATCCCACATGTCTAAATAGATGCTTATTATGGTGTGTTTTTTTTACTATCTTTTCCACAGATTCATTTAACAAAGTAAATTTCTTAATAACTTATTAATTCAATAATTGACAACTCACATTTTCTAGGTTTTACAGCATTTTGTGTTTTCATGTTTAAAAATTGTTGATATACTCAGCTCAGATAATTATCAATGAAATTGAATGATACTTGAGAGATGAATGGCTCATTGTCGTAATTTCCTATACCTTCATTGTAGCAATGACAACATCTCGGGCTTGTAACTCTCCTTCCAAGTAGCTGAAGTAACCGCAGAAGGTCTGCTTTGTTTAAATCCATTTTAGGGTGTCTCTGTAGAGAATAAACAAGCTATGTCAGGCATCAGATAAATGTGTACATATACTTTACTACAATATGATATGTTAATGTTGATTTTTGAAAATATAATAATTTCTGGACTTTACACATGTGCTACATAAAACATGTAAAAAGTACATTACTCTTAAGCAAAGAAGTTCTTAATTTTCCAAATTCCGTTCTTAAGAAACTTATCCGCGATTTCTTCGTATTTTGTAAAATTATTTTCGCGTATCCGTATTCTGTTTTGTCAATCTCCAAAAACTTAGGGAAAAAGCAACCACATCATGTTTTATACTAATACATGTAATAAAAATCAACAAATCTCAAATTTAGAAAATAGTGGTTATGGAAAGATAATTGTTAATTATCATGACATAGCGACATCTAAGAGCCTTGATGTCTTCAGGGCCCACCTACTTGATTGAATTAATCAAGTTGTTTTTACTTGCACTTTTGGAACTGTAAACATTAGTAGTGCTGGGTATCGCGACAGAAAAATCATATCGCGATATATTGCAATATTATATTTTGTATTGCAATATATCACGATATAAATATTTAATAATTTTTTGCTTTTCGTGAAGGTTAAATAAAAACACAAACTCAAATTACATGTATTCTCGAGTTGATATTCCAATTGCCTGATCGCGTTATGTCGGCGCAAGCGGCGAGATAATTTTTTTTGTTGGCACAACTTGTTGAATTCAATTAATTGTAATACTCAGATTCAGCTTTAACATGAAGGGGTTTCATATAACAGTTGTCGTCATTTCGTTTTTGAAAGAGACATGTCTCTGGTTTCTGATCTGTGATCACACTTCACGTTGCTTGCCGCCATATTTTACCTTGAAAGGGGCAAATAACTCTTCTTGTAACAATTTATAGCATATCGAACCCGAACCGGTATTCACAAAAAAATACCGCGATACGTATTGTGCAGAACGAAATCGGGATACACCGGTTAACCGGTAATATCGCACAGCACTAAACAGTAAAGCACTATTTCAGGGATTTATCTAGCTATTTTGTTTTACTACCGTTTTATAAGTAAAGGGGGAAAATGAGAGCCGCAGGCTCGATCTGAGCGCCGGAGGCGCGAGTATTCTAGGGGGGTCCATTTAAATAAATGGAGCAAAATCCTGCATTCTTAGAGCTTCTGAGGGTCATTTGTAGACCTTTAAAAAGGCCATAAAAACTTCACTTTTGAGACAAAATATTAACAAAAAAAAAATTTAAACCAAGTCAGTACTTTATTTAATTTTTTCTCTCAATGTCTATCACAAATCAATTCTGTCTTTCATGTTTCACCACTAACATTGTTTTTGTTGTTACTCCATTCTTCCGATTCATAGTGATTTAAGCTCCATCTTACTCATCTACACTTTTCTTAACTCTGCAATCACATACGTATATTTTGACATCATGGACATGGCACATGTTTACTGATCATTCATCAATATCAACTAGAAGCTTGAATAATCTACTCTCGCTTTTAAAAGCGTTTGAATGACTAGGATTGTGAATTAGGATATGCTGTTAAACTTCAATCGGACAAAAACGGAAAATTTCAGTACGATGTTTTAAATATTCTCCGTTTACTTGGAGACTTTTTTATCTGAAAAGGGGAATTTTTCACCTTTTTCAAGAGGGGAAAGGTACCGTTTACCGGTAGTAAAAACAGCCTTGATAAATCCCTGTATTTTTACTTTTTAAAAATTGGTATGTGCACCGAAGTGGCAGTGTCATCAGTGATTGATCGTGGCCACAGAGTGGTAGAAGTAGAAACATGTGGTTCATGTTTAAATAAATTCATGTATACTTAAATTGTTAATAATTCGAAATTATTCAAATTAATGGTAAACATTAAATTTGACACTTTTTTAAGTTTAATATAAGCACTAGCAATAAATGTATATTGCATCAAAGAAATGGTGCAAAATCTAAATTGTTCTTTCACAATAACAAACTATCTCCTAATGACCTATAGGTCTCAAAAATAAACATTCACAATATATTGTTGTCAAAGTATACAGGTATACAAATGCAAATTTGCAAATACTTTGCCTTGCAGAAAGCATACCTTCAGTGTATTTGACTGGAGTTTGCTGGGAGGATCATACATTCCTGCGCCGGGAGGTTGCTTCACATTTCTTGATGACGCCATTTTCGTTGCTTTTTTCTCCAGAAAATCTTCTGAAAAGATTTATTTCCCGCAAAAAGTCAGTCGTTAATTTACATGGTTTATGCTGCACCGTTAATAACTGGATTTAAACAGCTGCGATGTTATGTCTTTCCACTTCAGAGGACGTAAACAATTAGGAAATTTGTCATTGTTCCAACAGAATCATCTTCAGAAACAGTCACGTGACTCAAAGAGGAAATATTCTTTCTCTGTTTCGAATTTTGAAAGAAGAGATTTCGTCAAATTATATCATCAAAACTAAAAAGAATCTTTTAGACGACGCAAAAGAGAGAAAAATGTAAATTAAATCATAATCGTAAACAGTTTTTAAAAAAGTACGTTAACGCGGCTAAATATATTTTTTTAAAAAAAATCGTT